TTCTTCTTCTTCTTCTTCTTCTTCTTTTTTTCTTCTCGATCTATACACATGCCTGGGATGCGAACATGTGCCTCAATTTGTGATAATTTATTCTTCCTGGTGCGGACAAATGTCCTGTAGCTTAGCGGGTGCGTGACACGCGGCCCTGGACGGTAACAGTGAGCAAGTTATGGCCGGTGGGAAAGCGCAGGCGAATAGCCGGACTCAGTGACTTAGTCCGGCAGGTCACCGCTGCTGTGGTAGTTGCGGCGGCGAAGGCGACAGTAACCGACGGCGCGTCAGTTTCCACTGCGAGGTATGCGTGCAAGAAAGTCCAGACAGATAACAACAGCCGTGCATTTTCGGTTGGGACGCGCAAATCCGGTTCGCAATGGGCACTCTCTACACAACCTGGAGGTTGTGAGTTTTGCGCAATCCAAACTCGACAGAAAGGCGAAGAGTGATGTAGGGGGGACGGGGGGCATTTATCGGTTAAAAAAGCAGACAGCGAGCGTCTGAATTGCGCCAAATCTGTTCACTGAATCGAAAAGAAAACTGTTAAATGGCTTCGAACACGGGCGTTGGTTCCCAGGCTAACTTGAAATTATTGAAAGGTGTTCTTTGGATGCGAATTTTCGGCGTTGGTCCATCATTTTCAATGAAAAAAAGACAAGAGCCCGACCAGTTTCACTAGAAAAAAATCGGACACAGGGCACCTATGGAGCATTTTGCGGTCACTCAATCTTGACATTCGGAATCGCCACACAATTTTCAACCAAAACTGAATGAAATTCATCCTGTATAGGAAGGAAGATTTTTCTCCGAAAGAGGATTACGAGGAGTAAGTGGTTTCGCATCTATTACAACCGTTCAATTTCGGGTGAAGCAATTCACGGCCTCGTGGGTCTCTTAAGTGATAACGCTCTCAACCGGGATGACCATTTCCGGCTTAGCAGCTGTCTTCAGCCAGCCATGCACAATCCCAGGCAGCCAAATTTGGTATAGCCTCAAAATCAATGTCTGCCAAGAGCTGATTTAAACTTGCGAAACTTACCTTTAGAGAATCCAGAAAATCGAACCTACGTAAGTTTTCGATAAATTCGCATCAGGCCAGTATATTTACATGGGTACGAGGTAAACATTAAAGCATGCGCTCAGTAATATTTGTCTTCTCATATAAATAAGTCGTAATCATATGGGGGGTGGGGTGGTATGGTTCGATAAGAGAAGGCCGATTACGCGTCCTTTCAATAGAAAAGGGAAAAGTGACGAAGGGAGGGGTGGGGGGCAGTTATCGGCCAAAAAACGCAGACAGTGGGCGTCTGGGTTGCGCCCTATCCGTTCATTGCATCAAAAAGAAAACTGTCAAATAATTTTGAAATCGGGCGTTGGTTCGCGAGTTAATTTAAAATTATTGAAAGGTGTGAGGTGAAGCGACTTTTTTTCGGTTTTGGTCCATAATTTTCAATAAAAAAGGACAACAGCCCGACAAGTTTCACTGAAAAAAATTGTGCACTTTGCGCCTACACAGCAGTTTCTAATTTCTAACTTTTGACATTCGAATTTGCCACACGATGTGCCATGATGCTCAAATAAAATGCATCAAGTAAGGAAAGGAAGGTTTTTTCCGAAAGCAAGACTATAATAACTGTGTGGTTTTGCGCATATTAACCCGTCCAATGTCGAGTGCAGCCATTCTTGCCCTTGCTGGTTTGCTAGGGGACGAGGCTCTTGACTGGTATGGCCATTTCCGGCTCAGCAGCCCTCTTCAGCCAACCGTACGCAATCTTAGTCTGCCAAATTTCCTATGCGCTCAAAATAAACGTCCAACGGGGTACTTATTTGACATTTTCATTGCACGGCGAGACACAGAAAAGGGACAGAAAGTCGTTGGTACTGAAAATATGTTTGTTTACGTCTTCTATTTCTCCAAAAAAATAAAACAAAATTTCCCTTAAACTTGCTCATTACCAGGTATTTCGGAAGAACGCCACAACTTTCCAAAACAGGCTTTTTTGAAGCTGCATCCATGTCTTACCTCTTGAAAAAATAGGATTTTTCACGTATGCCTTCATCCGCATTTAAATAACCCAAAGTCCAAATTTTTGGTTCCACGAATGATTTATTTTGAACGGTCCTTGACTGACTCGTTGCTCGTTTTTATAGCAGAACGCGCACAAAAAGGGATCTTTCATTCGTGATATTTAAGAACACAGGAAATTAATTGGACATAATGAAACTTTAAAGCTTGCCTGAATCCATCTTGATTGCGTTTTCTAAAAAAGATTTTAAGTTAATTTGCCTTTATCAAACGGTTTTCTAAGCCGCAAACTAATTTCACATGCAAAATTAACAAAAGCAACTGTATGTTTTAGTACAAATTTACATTTCGATCACAATATTTCATAGAGTAGATCATCTTATGTAGCAAACTGCCGGCTTAGGCGATTTGGGAATGTAGATAGCCTTGTCTGAACTATTGCTATTCCTGTTGCGTAATAGCCCTATTCAAATTTCCATAAGAGCTAGTGTGTCTGTTCAACCCCTCTTGGTCGGTTGGGTTGTGTGGGGCTGTACCACTCACCTGAAGAATACTGGCAGTTATACGATTGTCTAAGTATCAGCAAG